AGGGAGAGGTTGTTGTCCTGGCACCACACGGCCAGGTCTCTGACCTCCTCCCTATAGGCTGTCTCATCGTTGTCGGTGATCAGGCCTACCACTGTTGTGTCGTCAGCAAACTTAATGATGTTGTTGGAGTCGTGCCTGGCCATGCAGTCATGGGTAAACAGGGAGTACAGGAGGGGAATAAGCACGCACCCCTGAGGGGCCCACGTGTTGAGGATCAGCGTGGCAGATGTGTTGTTACCTACCCTTACCACCTGGGGCGGCACGTCAGGAAGTCCAGGATCCAGTTGCAGAGGGAGGTGTTTAGTCCCAGGATCCTTAGCTTAGTGATGAGCTTTGAGGACACTATGGTGTTGAACGCTGAGCTATAGTCAATGAATAGCATTCTCACGTAGGTGTTCTAACAATCGCTCCCTTTCTCTCACATATTTCTGGCTCTGAAATAGAACATGTTCCACTGTCTCCATCTCCTCCTGACAATGATCACACCTCCCAGTCGGATGTTTCCCCATCACTTTCAATGTACTATTTAGCCTTGTGTGTCCCATTCTCAGCCTTGTGACTACACTTTCCTCCCTTCTCTCTCGGCCTGAGGACCTCCCTGCCCCCACCTTTTCCTGGATCTTATACAGGTGTCTTCCCTTTCTCTCCCTGTTCCACAACTCTTCCCACTTATTTTTAACCACTGTTCTTATTAATCTATTGGCTTCTGCTTTACTGATTGACAATTCCACCTCAACATTAGGATGTTTAAGAGCCTGCATGGCGATAACATCCACCTCCTCATTCCCCTCTACTCCCACATGAGCTGGTACCCAGATGAACATCACAAATACCCCCATCTGTTTCACCCTATACAAACACTGAAAAACCTCATACAATACATCCTGTCTGCTCTGAGCCAGACATGAATTTAAGCTCAGCAGTGCTACCATGTCTGGCCACACCTCCTCCACCCACTCTGCAGCCAATAGTATGGCCAACAACTCCATTGTATAAACAGATAAATGATCTGTTGCTCTCTTCGTCACTGCCACCTTAAACTCAGGAATACTAAAAGCTGCTCCTGTCCTCCCTGTTTTAGGGTCCTTCGATCCATCTGTGAATATATTCAAGAAAGCATAGTATTGTGTTCTTAAATGTTCACTTACAACTGAATCTACTCCTTCCTCACCATCTCTTACCCTCTCAAGCAACCCTAGAGCTATCACTGGTTGAGGGAGCAACCAAGGTGGGATAGCAGGAAGAACCACAGAGGGGCTAAACTCCCTCCCAAACAACCCCATCTCTCTCGCCATGAAATTGCCTATCCACCCAAAGCTTATATTCAGATGTTGTTCATGTTCCCAGCACTCTAGGAGCACCTTTTTTGTAGGATGCGTAACCTTATGTCCTTGTAGATTTACCCAATATGTCATGGCTAGCTGTTATTTTCTTAACTTTAACGGCATCTCTCCCAACTCTACCTGCATCGCTGCCACTGGGGAGGTCCTGAGTGCTCCATAACTATTCTTAGGGTTTGGGCCTGGAAAACATCTAGCTTTTTTAAAGATGTCTGAGCTGCTGATCCATATGCTATACTTCCATAATCCATTGATTACCTAAACAGCGCTATATATATCATTTTCAACGCCATTCTATCTGCTCCCCACTCCATTCCTGACAAGCAACGCATCACATTCAATATTTTCTTTCCTTTGACAACTACTCTGTTAATATGCTCCACCCATGTCATTTGAGTGTCAAACCAGACACCCAGGAACCTAAACCCTCCCACCCTCTCCAGATACCTTCCATACAACTTCAAGTATATTTCCTCCCCAACCTTCCTTCTAGAAAAAAACACAGTCTGTGTTTTCTCAACTGAAAACTTGACATCCCACCTGAGCGACCACTGTTCTACTTCACTAATCGCTTCTTGAACTCTTCTGGCTGTATGGGTAATATTTCTCCCTCTCTTCCACAGCGCTCCATCATCCACAAACAATGACCTCCCAATATCAGGTCTCACCTGAGAGAATACATCGTCAATGATAATGGAGAACAACAAAGGACTAATGACACTTCCCTGGGGGGTACCATTATCCTCCTCATAGCTTTCTGACATAGAGCTCCCCACCCTCACTTGTATTGATCACCCAAAAATAAAATCCTTTATCCAGTTAAAAACCCTTCCTCCAACCCCCATGTTATCCAGCTCGATAAGTAGACCTTCCTTCCACATCATATCATAAGCCTTCTCTACATCAAAGAAAATGGCTACCACCACCTCCTTATTTGCCTGTGCCTTCCGTATGACTGACTCAAGGCACAGTCCAGGATCCATCGTTCCCCTGCCTTTCCTGAACCCATTTTGATATGGTGACATTAGTCCTCTACTCTCCAGAAAGTAAGTCAGCCTTTCCATTATCATCCTTTCCATAAGTTTACATACATGAGATGTCAACGCTATCGGCCTATAGCTTGAAGGACTCGTAGGGTCTTTCCCTGGTTTCCGTATTGGCACCGCTACCGCCTGCTTCCAACTTCCAGGCATTTTCCCTTCCTGCCACACCTTATTGTAAAGGCCCAATACTTTCCCCATTGCAGTGTCACTGAGATGAGCCATCATGATGTAACACATCTCATCCTTCCCAGGAGATTTTACCCCAGCTTTAGCTAATGCTCTCGTCATCTCAGCCAACGTAAAAGGGCTATTTAATGTATCCCCCACCATCTCTCTCTGATCCAGGACCCCCGGATGTTCTCCTCTGACCCTCTCTCTCCCACGCCGCCCATTTTCTGTCCGATTATTTGAGCGGTGCACCTTCACAAATGCCTGGGCTAACATCTCTGCCTTCTCCATATCTCTCACTGCAACAATCTCCCCACTTTTCAGCACAGGGAGATCCCAATCTCTTCTGACCCCACTCATCCTCTTAATCATCCCCCATACCTCTCCCACAGGAGTGGTCCTGCCTATGTTTCCACAGAACCGGCGCCAATACTCCCTCTTAGCTGTCCTAATGATCCTCCTTACTACTGCTTGTGCTTGTTTATACTGAATCAGGTGCTGTAATTATGGGACCTTTTCAACATTCTGAAAGCGCTGTTCCTACTCTTCACTGCTTCTCTACACGCTTCAGTCCACCAGGGGACTGCGTTACCCTTTCTCCCCCCTGTCCCCATAGGAATCACCTGCCATGCGGCCCCTACTATTGCTCCTCTTACTCCATCATTGACTGTTTCTATATCTGAATTAAGATCTACCTGAGACGGCTCCTGTTCACTCATCTCCTGAAACTGACCCCACGCCGCTTTCCCAAATATCCATCTCCTCAATCCATTTCCTACTGATTCTTCCTCCCTCAGTCCTACAGTACACATGATAGGATAGTGATCACTACCCACTGTAGATTCATTTCCAGTTACTGGGTCAATCCTGGTTCCCCGGCCGTCATTAAGCCTCACAAGCCCTTTCTCATCCAGTAGTTCCTCCAACACTTGTCCGTAACCATCCCCAGAGCGTACTATGAGCATTAAAATCCCCACACCACATTACCCGTCTCCTATCTTGACCTTCTACATTCCCAAGGGCCAGCAACTCCAGTCTCTTACAAGGGTTGTAAACGTTCACTATTACCATATTCCCGCCTCCCAACCACACCTCTACCACTACATACTCCTGTTCCACTCCCTCTCCCACACGCCTATATGGGATCCCCGCTTTATAAAGTTAGCACATCCTCCTCCTCCCCCTGTCACCTTATCTCTACGGACTGCAACATAACCTTGTACTACAAAATCTAGAGTAGGTTTTAGCCATGTCTCCTGGAGACATATCACATCAGGTTTGGCTGGTAACTCCTCAAGAAACTGTTTGAACTCTTGCCCATTAGCCATCAAACTTCTGGCATTCCATTGAAGGATTAACACCATAATGCAAATTAACCAATACATGATTCCTGGCTGGACTGATTCTCAATCTTATTGAGGTCATCCTGTACATTTTCCCATGTCAGTCCTGTGATCCCAAGATACCTCACTTCCTGCTCCACTATGATCTTTATCTTCTTAATCCTCCATTGTAATTTTTCTGTGCAATTGATTGCTGCTGTCACAAATGTAACAACCTTCCTCGTGTCTCCTGCTCTTCTAGGTGCCCCGATTGTTTCTGCGTGAACTACCTTCACTGCTTCTGCATACGAGATGTTACGCTCACCCCTCATCTGCTGCACTTCCACCTGTCTTTTCATCACTGAACAACCCCCATACGCTACACTATTGGCGCCCCCACAGTTAAAGCACTTTAACTGGATCTCCACATTCCCCTTATGCATGTTCCCAAAAAAATGTAATAATAATAATAATAAGTATTATATATATATATATATATATATAGTAAAGTGGTTGTCCGACTGGCTATCATAAGGTGAATGCACCAATTTGTAAGTCGCTCTGGATAAGAGCGTCTGCTAAATGACGAAAATGTAAATGTAAATATATCCAATCCTAACTTTTCCTGGCAATACCTGATCCTCAAAGTTTAGTAGCACTGACAAGCTATCCACCTTCTTCCCATCTCGTGTCATCTGGAGGCGCTTTGCCTCAATAAGAGAGCCTCCCTTCAAGTGGTCCTTTATTTCTTGCATGTTAACAATTTCTGGAACTCCTGTAATAACTCCCTTCACCCACTTCCGTCCAGTTTGATCCGGCATGCTACATACCTGCTTGAGTTTGAGCACCTTTTCATACTGTTTAACATTGAAACACACCACCACCAAACTTCCAGCACGAAGAACTTTAGCAGACACAACCTCTCCTACTTTACTCTCCAAATCCCTAGCCAACGCGATCGGACTCACCGCTGTGACTCCAACTTGATCCTTAAATTTCACCAACACCTTGAGCTCCACCTCTCAGTACAACACTGCGACCCGAACCTCCCTTGTCACTACTATCCTCTGACAAGTCCTGCAAAGGCTCCTCAGGCTTCCTCTTCTTCGTAACCTTTACTCTTACTATACCTCCACCTTTTCCCACTCCATCCCGTCCTCCTCAACTCCTAACCCCCCTACCTTTCCATCCATCTCCATGTCTTCTTTACGCTTCCTCCCGTTTTTCTAGGAGTTTAGCGATGTGAAACTGACATGCAAGGCACATTACCGACACCGAGTGGCTCGGAGGAACAGATACAAGTTCTCACAAATCTGTTTCGCCTCCCCATCATTGTTTTCATGTATATGCAGTATTTCTTTTTTTGTACTGGTAGCAATCTTAGCCGAAAAAAAGTTTAATCTGCTCTTGTCTAGATTTCTTTCAGGTGTAGGGGGACATTATTTTGCTAGTGCAGTGCTCATAAATCCCCACTGTCACACATTGCCCTTCATAAACCCATCAACAATTTGCAACAAGGTTGTCTATACAAATATTTCAGTTGAGTTCAGACTTTCTTTGGATTTCCTGATAATTATATATTTGTATGATTTAACACAAAAGACACTTGTCTGTTCCCATATGTTCCATGTTTGACGATCATCCCAGTCTCACTACTCTTACTGGACAAAGCCAGTTCCTTCTCACACAGGGAGACACATTTTGAATAGAGCTGTAGGCCCTCTTCTTTCCCAATGTTAGGGTGGTACTGCATGCCCTTCCCTTTGGCCTTGCCTCCCAGTGTAGCCTTAGGCACGATGAGGACGATCCCAGGCAGGTCCAGCACTGACACATACTTCCCAGAGTCAGCTTCACACAGCTTCAAGTTGAGCAGAGTGTTCACTGTGGAGTAGAGCAGAGGGATCGATAACCATTCAGTACTAGCAACACTGCTTTACGATTCCTTGAAGAACAGTGACATTTACTGTTCACAGTCTTGTGAAGCCCAGGTAGTTGCTTTTATTGCAGTATTGTCCGAAACTGGAAAAAGCACAAGAAATACCGATTTTGGGGATAATGTCCTCCTTTGAAAAAGCAGATGTAGACCACCATCCCTCTGTCAATCTGAAAACATGAAATCTTATGAGTAGCCGTCCCCAAATTATTATTTTAGGCAAGGTGCAATTCTTATTCTGAGCATGCAGACCATATTTGTATTTAAGAAAGTAGTAGAACATAATTCAATAATACCCATTCAGCCTCAGACTGATCATCTGCAGGTTTGACCTGAAGCCTTGCATAGAGACACTGCTGAAGAATAGTTCTTGCTTGTGGAGAACCTGCCTTTTCAGTCATTCTGAAATGATGTCTGCCTGTTTCAGATGATAAAACACAAGAGGACTCGTAAAAAAGAATCTCATTTTTAAAAGGGACAGTGAGGCAAAACACTCACTTCCGGGTGAGGCTCCTCCTGACGCGCAGTTAACACCTACACGTCATAAAAAATCGACATTCATTAGAAATAACCTATTTTTTTCTATGGCAATAACACAAGATGGCTCAATGTAGCTACAGTAAACTCTCAAATTTTTTAAATTAACAACCGCTAACCTAAATAAACCAACATTGTTACGGACAGGGAGAGATATTCATCATGCTCCACAACGCGGAAAATATTTCATACGTTTTCATAAGGTACGATTCTAGCTCTCTTGCTAAAATTGTTTACAACTAACCAGCGGACCAACTAGCTACAACTAAATAGCTAGGTAACTTGCTACATGCTAGCTAAATAAATGCTAGCAAGTTCACTCTACATAGCTAGTTAGCCATTGAGGCCAATTATGTCGCATGTTTGTTTACTTATCGGTATAAACTTGAACAGCAACTCTTTAAGATTTACATCATGTATATATATACAAGTTACATTCAAGTTTATCATGTGTTGTTGATAAACTCAGTTTCTCATTCCATGATATGTCTCTGTACTCCCCAGACCTCAGGTCCTGAGAGGGCATTGCAGGAGAGACAGAAGCAGCACATGGCTCGGGGCTTGCCCAAACAAAAGCCCATTGCTGGAGTGAAACAAGTTATTGTGGTGGCCTCAGGGAAGGGGGGTGTTGGGAAATCAACCACTGCAGGTAAGCAGGTTCTTATTGGGCTCTGTGCTGCTCATTCATGAAACATTTGCACAAATGTGTACAACTTGCATACATTTCAACAGATAGTGGTTTGGTCTGATCTTTATGAAATACATTTTTATACAGTGTAGTCATTTGCTAGCCTACTACCTTGTTCCTCCCCTCAACAGTGAATTTGGCCCTTGGACTCACAGCTAATGATCCAGTAAGGAAAGCACCATTATTAATTTGCACATTTTGTAATTACTGTTGCATACCCATTTTTTCCCAAATGGGAATGCAGAACCATGACAATCTCTCTCTCTCTCTGTTTTACTACATTGTCCACTCAGTCGCTCTTCATTTCTCTTTTCTGCACACAGAGTAAAACAGTGGGCATCTTAGACGCTGATGTTTACGGTCCCTCAGTTCCTAAGCTGATGAACCTGAAGGGGAACCCAGAACTAACTGACAGTAGGAGACATCTATCTGCATGAAGTCTAGCTTGAGGAATAACAATGATGTGTTAGATGTTTCCATTCATTACAGAGATCAAATTGAAAAGACGACCTACAAAGTTGTGTGGTGTTTTCTTTGTGTTTTCAGACAACCTCATGAGACCACTTATGAATTTTGGGATTCCTTGGTGAGTATATTTATCTCCAATTGCAAGTGACAGGGGAGGTAAGCAAATACATGAATAATTGAGTCATTGACTGTCATGTCCATCTCTCATCCTTCTGTCCTCAGTATGTCCATGGGGTTTCTGGTAGAGGATGTTGCACCCATTGTCTGGAGGGGCCTGATGGTGATGTCGGCTATAGAGAAGCTACTTAGACAGGTGGGGGAGACTGATCATTCATGTACACTGCCCTACAAAGGCAAAGTTGCAGTAACTACGAATTTGGTCAAAAATCTTAGTTCTGTTGTAATGGCCTGGTATATATAAGCAATAAGGCCCGAGGGGGTGTGGTATATGGCCAATATACAACGGCTAAGGGCTGTTCTTATGCACGATGCAACGCGGAGTGCCTGGATACAGCCCTTAGCCGGGGTATATTGGCCATATACCACAAACCCCCAAGGTGCCTTATTGCTATTATAAACTGGATATCAACTTAATTAGAGCAATACAAATATATGTTTTGTCATACCGTGGTATACGGTCTGATATACCGCGGCTGTCTTCCAATCAGCATTCAGGGCTCGAACCACTCAGTTTATAATATCTGATTAACGTGGTTTTTCGTTTTCTGAGACAAGAACAAGCCAGTCGATCAGAATATATCATGAAGTACCAGAATTTAGACAGACTTTGCAGTGAGATTTTGCAGTAAAAAAAAAACGTTGCCTTTGTAGGACAGTACAGTTATCCGTGTTAGTTTTTATACTTGCGATATCGAGAGTAACAGCTACTAGAAATGTTAGGTCGCCATGTCATTATTATTTTTTAAACCTATGCAGGTAGATTGGGGACTGCTGGACTACCTGGTTATTGACATGCCACCTGGGACTGGAGATGTTCAGTTATCGATCACTCAGAACATTCCAATAGCAGGAGCAGTGATTGTGTCCACTCCTCAGGATATTGCCTTGCTGGATGCACGCAGAGGAGCAGAAATGTTCAAGAAGGTCAATGTACCGGTAAGAGCTTTGGATGCAAAATGCGGTTTTATATAAACTCTGCATAATTATGACACATTTCATACTTAAATTATTTTCTGAATGACCTTGGTAAGGACAAAATACAAATTTGTGAGATATTGATCTATGCACACTGAACAAAAATATAAATGCAACATTTCAAAGATTGTATTGTACTGAGTTACAGTTCATATAAGGAAATCAGTCAATTGAAAAATCTATGGATTTCACATGACTGGGAATACAGATATGCATCTGTTGGTCACAGATACCTTTAAAAAAAGGTAGGGGCATGGATCAGAAAACCAGTCAGTATCTGGTGTGACCACCATTTGCCTCATGCAGCGCGACACACCTTCCTTCGCATAGAATTGATCAGGCTGTTGATTGTGGCCTGTGGAAAGTTGTCCTACTCCTCTTCAATGGCTGTGCAAAGTTGCTGGATATTTGTGGGAACTGGAACACGCTGTCGTACATGTCAATCCAGAACATCCCAAACATGCTCAATGGGTGACATGTCTGGTGACTATACAGGCCATGGAAGAACTGGGACATTTTCAGCATCCAGGAATTGTGTTCAGATCCTTGCGACATGGGGCTGTGCATTATCATGCTGAAACATAAGGTGATGGCGGCGGATGAATTGCACGACAATGGACCTCAGGATCTCGTCACGGTATCTTTGTGCATTCAAATTGACATTGATAAAATGCAATTGTGTTCGTTGTCTGTAGCTTATGCCTGCCCATACCGTAACCCCACCGCCACCATGAGGCACTCTGTTCACAACATTGACATCAGCAAACCGCTCGCCTACACGACGCCATACTGTCTGCCATCTGCCTGGTACAGTTAAAACCGGGATTCATCCATGAAGAGCACACTTCTCCAGTGTGCCAGTGGCCATCGAAGGTGAGCATTTGCCCACTGAAGTCGGTTACGACGCCGAACTGCAGTCAGGTCAAGCCCCTGGTGAGGACAACGAGCACGCAGATGAGCTTCCCTGAGACGGTTTTTGACAGTTTGTGCAGTAATTCTTTGGTTGTTCAAACCCACAGTTTCATCAGCTGTCCAGGTGGCTCATCTCAGATCATCTCGCAGGTGAAGAAGCCAGATGTTGAGTTCCTGAGCTGGCGTGGTTACACATGGTCTGCGGTTGTGAGGCCGGTTGGATGTACTGCTAAATTCTCTAAACAACGTTGAGGTGCCTTATGGTAGAGAAATTAACTTGAAATTATCTGGCAACAGCTCTGGTGGATATTCCTGCAGTCAGCCTGCCAATTGCACGCTCCCTCAAAACTTGAGACATGGGTGGCATTGTGTGACAAAACTGCACATTTTAGAGTGGCCTTTTATTTTCCCAGCACAAGGTGCACCTGTGTAATGATCATGCTGTTTCATCAGCTTCTTGATATGCTGAACCTGTCAGGTGGATGGATTATCCTGACTAAATGAGAAATGCTCACTAACGGAGAAATACGTTTTTTGTGCGTATGGAAAATGTCTGGGATCTTTTATTTCAGCTCATGAAATGTGGGACCAACACTTTTACATGTTGCGGTTATATTTTTATTCTGTGTATATATATATATATATATATATGTCACATCTCATAGGTCCTGGGTATAGTCCAGAATATGAGCGTGTTTCAGTGCCCAAAGTGTAACCACCAGACCCACATCTTTGGGGCAGATGGAGCAAGGGCCCTTGCTGATACTCTGGGAGTACAAGTATTGGGTAAGACCAATTTCAAACATAAGTCATTACAGAGTTCATAATTTCTCTCAATCTCATATGTAATAGAATGATAGTATAGTGTAGAGTAGAGACTGATGTCTCTCCCTCTGTCTAGGAGACATTCCTCTACACCTGAGCATCAGAGAGATGTCAGACAGAGGCCAGCCTGTGGTGGTGTCCTCACCGGACAGCCCTGAGGTTGGTAGGCTGCTTGGATGATAATAGATAATCAAGATAAACATGGGCAATGTTGGAAAACAAAACAGTGTATTCTTCACGATAACATTGTGTAAATTTGACACTTTTGAGAGTTTGCCATGTTAGTTTTCTACCTGGGTTTGTTTAGTATGTCTGCCTATGCCTATTGTTTTAGGCTGAGGCCTACAGAAAGGTGGCGACTGCCGTGGTCCAGCGTCTACAAGAACTCTCTGGTTGAGTTATTGCCATCTACTGTGTAGGACAACTGGACAACTCGTCATCTACAGGAGATACAGTGCATTCGGAAAGTATTCAGACCCCTTGACTATTTCCACATTTTGTTACGTTACAGCCTTATTCTAAAATAGATTACATTGTTGTTTTCCCCCTCATCAATCTATACACAATACCCTATGATGACAAAGCAAAAACAGGTTTTTAGATTTTTTTGCAAATGTAATCAAAATTAAAAACGGAAATATCACATTTAAATAAGTATTCAGACCCTTTACTCAGTACTTTGTTGAAGCACCTTTGGCAGCGATTACAGCCTCGCGTCGTCTTGGGTATGATGCAACAAGTTTGCGCACACCTGTATTTGGGGAGTTGCTCCCATTCTTCTCTGCAGATCCTCTCAAGCGCTTTCAGGTTGGATGGGGAGCGTCACTGCAAAGCTATTTTCAGGTCTGTCCTGATATGTTCAATCGGGTTCAAGTCCGGGCTCTGGCTGGGCCACTCAAGGACATTGAGACTTGTCCCGAAGCCACTCCTGCGTTGTCTTGGCTATGTGCTTAAAGTCGTTGTCTGGTTGGAAGATGAACTTTCACCCCAGTCTGAGGTCCTAAGTGCTCTGGAGCAGGTTTTCATCAAGGATCTCACTGTACTTTGTTCCGTTCATCTTTCCCTCGATCCTGACTAGTCTCCCAATCCCTGCCACTGGAAAACATCCCCAAAGCATGATGCTGCCACCACCATGCTTCACCGTAGGGATGGTGGCAGGTTTCCTCCAAATGTGACGCTTGGCATTCAGGCCAAATAGTTCAATCTTGGTTTAATCAGACCAGAGAATCTTGTTTCTCATGGTCTAAGTGTCTTTAGGTGCCTTTTGGCAAACTCCAAGCGGGCTGTCATGTGCCTTTACTGAGGAGTGGCTACCGTCTGGCCACTCTACCATAAGGCCTGATTGGTGGAGTGCTGCAGAGATGGTTGTCCTTCTGGAAGGTTCTCCCATCTCCACAGAGGAACTCTGGAGCTCTGTCGGAGTGACCATCAGGTTCTTGGTCACCTCCCTGACCAAGGCCCTTCTCCCCCGATTGCTCAGTTTGACCGGGCGGCCAGCTCTAGGAAGAGTCTTGGTGGTTCCAAACTTCTTCCGTTTAAGAATGATGGAGGCCACTGTGTTCTTGGGGGCTTCCAATGCGGCCGAAATGTTTTAGTACCCTTCCCTAGATCTATACGTCAACACAATCCTGTCTCTGAGCTCCACAGACAATTCCTTCGACTTCATGGCTTGGTTTTTTCTCTGACATGCACTGTCAACTGTGGGACCTTATTAAGACAGGTGTTTGCCTTTCCAAATCATGTCCAATCAATAGAATTTACCACAGGTGGACTCGAAGTTGTAGAAACATCTTAAGGATGATCAATGGAAACAGGATGCACCTGAGCTCAATTTCGAGTCTCATAGCAAAGGGTCTGAATACTTATGTAAATAAGGTATCTGTTTTTTATTTTTAATAAATTTGCAAAAATGTCTAAACCTGTTTTCGGTTTGACATTATGGGCTATTGTGTGTAGATTGATGAGGGGGAAAAATAATTTAATCCATTGTAGAATGAGGCTGTAACGTAACAAAATGTGGAAAAAGTTAAGGGGTCTGAATACTTTCCGAATGCACTGTAGACCAGAAGAACCCCACACTCCTCCCTATCCCTAGCTGTTGAGTATACACAAATCCTTGGTGTCGGATTATATCTGTTACATACTTATTCTATGGAATGATGTACATTACATAGAATAAGTATATCTAGACCGTGGTAGCGTTATGTTCAGTTTCAATAGTAATGTCTCTTCAAACCAATGAGTATTCAATATATAGATTCAGTGTTCAGTCTGATATTCAAATACTACACGTTTAATTCAAGCCTTGAGAACAAAATGTACAGTCGACAGTAAACTCAATGTTATTTACAGTTGAAGTCGGAAGTTTACATACACCTTAGCCAAATACATTTAAACTCAGTTTTTCACAATTCCTGACATTTAATCCTAGTAAAAATGCCCTGTTTTAGGCCAGTTAGGATCACCACTTTATTTTAAGAATGTGAAATGTCAGAATAATAGTGGAGAATCATTTATTTCAGTTTTATTTCTTTCATCACATTCCCAGTGGGTCAGAAGTTTACATACACTCAATTAGTATTTGGTAGCATTGCCTTTAAATTGTTTAACTTGGGTCAAACGTTTTGTGTAGCCTTCCACAAGCTAACCCACAATAAGTTGGGTGAATTTTGGCCCATTCCTCCTGACAGAGCTGGTGTAACTGAGTCAGGTTTGTAGGCCTCCTTGCTCGCTCACGCTTATTCAGTTCTGCCCACACATTTTCTATAGGATTGAGGTCAGGGCTTTGTGATGGCCACTCCAATACCTTGACTTTGTTGTCCTTAAGCCATTTTGCCACAACTTTGGAAGTATGCTTGGGGTCATTGTCCATTTGGAAGACCCATTTTTGACCAAGCTTTAACTTTCTGACTGATGTCTTGAGATGTTGCTTCAATATATTCACATCATTTTCCTTCCTCATGATGCCATCTATTTTGTGAAGTGCACCAGTCTCTTCTGCAGCAAAGCACCCCCACAGCATAATGCTGCCTCACCCGTGCTTCACGGATGGGATGGTGTTCTTCGGCTTGCAAGCACCCCCTTTTTCCTCCAAACATAACGATGGTCATTATGGCCAAACAGTTATATTTTTGTTTCATCAGACCAGAGGACATTTCTCCAAAAAGTACGATCTTTTGCAGTTGCAAACCGTAGTCTGGCTTTTCTATGGCGGTTTTGGAGCAGTGGCTTCTTCCTTTCTGAGCGGCCTTTCAGGTTATGTCAATATAAGACTAATTTTACTATGGATATAGATACTTTTGTACCTGTTTCCTCCAGCATCTTCACAAGGTCCTTTGCTGTTGTTCTGGGATTGATTTGCACTTTTCGCACCAAAGTACGTTCATCTCTAGGAGACAGAACGTGTCTCCTTCCTGAGCGGTATGACGGCTGCGTGGTCCCATGGTGTTTATACTTGTGTACTATTGTTTGTACAGATGAACGTGGTACCTTCAGGCGTTTGGAAATTGCTCCCAAGGATGAACCAGACTTGTGGAGGTCTACACATTTTTTTCTGAGGTCTTGGCTGATTTCTTTTGATTTTCCCATGATGTCAAGCAAAGAGGCACTGAGTTTGAAGGTAGGCCTTGAAATACATACACAGGTACACCTCCAATTGACTCAAATGATGTCAATTAGCCTATCAGAAGCTTCTAAAGCCATGACATCATTTTCTGGAATTTTCCAAGCTGTTTAAAGGCACAGTCAACTTAGTGTATGTAAACTTCTGACCCACTGAAATTGTGATACAGTGAATTATAAGTGAAATAATCTGTCTGTAAACAATTGTTGGAAAAATTACTTGTGTCATGCACAAAGTAGATGTCCTAACCGACTTGCCAAAACGATTGTTTGTTAACAAGAAATGTGTGGAGTGGTTGAAAAACGAGTTTTAATGACTCCAACCTAAGTGTATGTAAACTTCCGACTTCAACTGTATGCCCTAAAAGCATAGGGTGAAAATAAAGGAATGCTTTGGTTGTATGTTGTTGTTTTTTCTTTCTGACTTGATGCCTGGTGAGTTGTTCTTTTGTACATTTTCTTTACAATATTTACACAATCTTCCATCTTCACGAAATGCAACTAATGTTACCAATGTCAGAGATGAAAATAAACAACCTCCTATTGCCCACTTGACTTGAAGCCAGTAAGGGTTGCAGTTACTCTCTATAAACACCTGGTGGCACTGCATATCAAATTTACATTTACATTTACGTCATTTAGCAGACGCTCTTATCCAGAGCGACTTACAAATAGGTGCATTCACCTTATAGCCAGTGGGATAACCACTTTACAATGTTTTTTTTTGTGGGGGGGGGGGGGGGGGTTGGAGTAAAGGGGGGGGGGTAGAAGGATTACTTTATCCTATCCCAGGTATTCCTTAAAGAGGTGGGGTTTCAAATGTCTCCGGAAGGTGGTGAGTGACTCCGCTGTCCTGGCGTCGTGAGGGAGCTTGTTCCACCATTGGGGTGCCAGAGCAGCGAACAGTTTTGACTGGGCTGAGCGGGAACTATGCTTCCGCAGAGGTAGGGGAGCCAGCAGGCCAGAGGTGGATGAACGCAGTGCCCTCGTTTGGGTGTAGGGACTGATCAGAGCCTGAAGGTACGGAGGTGCCGTTCCCCTCACAGCTCCGTAGGCAAGCACCATGGTCTTGTAGCAGATGCGAGCTTCAACTGGAAGCCAGTGGAGTGTGCGGAGGAGCGGGGTGACGTGAGAGAACTTGGGAAGGTTGAACACCAGATGGGCTGCGGCATTCTGGATGAGTTGTAGGGGTTTAATGGCACAGGCAGGGAGCCCAGCCAACAGCGAGTTGCAGTAATCCAGACGGGAGATGACAAGTGCCTGGATTAGGACCTGTGCCGCTTCCTGTGTAAGGCAGGGTCGTACTCTCCGAATGTTGTAGAGCATGAACCTACAGGATTGGGTCACCGCCTTGATGTTAGCGGAGAACGACAGGGTGTTATCCAGGGTCACGCCAAGGCTCTTCGCACTCTGGGAGGAGGACACAACGGAGTTGTCAACCGTGATGGCGAGATCATGGAACGGGCAGTCCTTCCCCGGGAGGAAGAGCAGCTCCGTCTTGCCAAGGTTCAGTTTGAGGTGGTGATCCGTCATCCATACTGATATGTCTGCCAGACATGCAGAAATGCGATTCGCCACCTGGTTATCAGAAGGGGGAAAGGAGAAGATTAGTTGTGTGTCGTCAGCGTAGCAATGATAGGAGAGGCCATGTGAGGATATGACAGAGCCAAGTGACTTGGTGTATAGCGAGAATAGGAGAGGGCCTAGAACTGAGCCCTGGGGGACACCAGTGGTGAGAGCACGTGGTGCGGAGACAGCTTCTCGCCACGCCACTTGGTAGGAGCGACCGGTCAGGTAGGACGCAATCCAAGAGTGAGCCGCGCCGGAGATGCCCAGCTCGGAGAGGGTGGAGAGGAGGATCTGATGGTTCACAGTATCAAAGGCAGCAGACAGGT